CTGTCCCAGCATGCAATGCCCCAGCTCGCCACACAAACCCGCAGACATGCAGAGTCAGACAGGTAGGAATGGGCTCACGAGTGTGACCCAGGCTGTGAGTTAGCGTTCTGCTGCATTATTACTCCTTCACCTCTGTCCTGTTTCCATTTTCTCTCTTTCATTCTTCTGCTTTGGACTTCTTCTCCTCCTCCCAGCTCCAGCCCCAGGCTTCACCTCTACCCCCTCTTTCCACCCTCCGCCCTCCTCCTTCCATCCTCACCCTACAACCCTGCGAACCCGTTACCAAGGCAACGGGGGCGTGGGTTTCTCCCTGGCTGAGGTCCATCAGGAGCTGCAGATGTTACAGAGGCAGCTGGGAGACAATGAGAGTGCGTCCGTCTCACTGTATATGCACGAGCTTACTGTGAACTAACTGTCGTGTGTTTGAAGATCGATATTTCCCGTGAAGCTGACGAGGAAACTTTCAGGGGAACAGTGTAAACTTTTGTTCTGAAGAAGATGATGAACAGCTGAGTTAGTGGGCAGGAGCTCGTTCTCTAGCCAACGTTAACCGAGTTTAACAGCATGTTAGAAAATGGAGACAAAGAGAACAAAGATAGTCAGAGAATATCCAAGTTTTTACATTTCTACATTATTCTACTATTTTATTTAATCTACAGTGGCTCTACGATACAAGGAATCTTTAACCTAACTCATAATTATTCTTAATGCCTGGATTTCCCCTTGAAATCAATGAGATGAGGCAGTAGAAACGCTACCACTTATGTCCACAGGATCAACAACATAAAAAAAACACAATATAAAAGTTCCTTGTAGGAGCTTTAAATGATTGGAAGTCAGATTGATCCGCCTTTAATGCATCCATACATGTAAGAGAGGGAAGAATGAACCAACGACTGAATCAGTTTCTGCGTGGAGATATACAGGGTGTGAAATGAAGTGAGAGTTGATCGGCTTTAATAATCCACATGCCTTCCCTTTGTCTTTAACCCACTGCACTTTCTTTCACATTGAATAACTGTTCTTCCTTTGTTCCTTAATGAACCCACTGCATGCAGCTTGAGAAGGATTTGCTGTGATCTTTGAACACTAATGAGAGACGGAGCTTTGACACACCCCAAACCAGGCCGATTTAGTTTGGCCGATTAAGTCGTTCCCTACGTCAGGAGAAATCCCTTCATCTCTCTTTCAGTCTTTCACTCTCCCTTCCTTCGTGTCTCACTAACACTCAAATTTTTTTTAAATCGACAATCCCTCCAGCACGTGTCTGCAGTGTTTTCTCCTCTAATATTTGATATGTTCCCTTATTTTCTAACATGATGTTCGTGTCTCTTCTTCAGGGTTTTCCACTCCCCAGTCCAAACCTCTTCAGGGGTTCCCGTTCGCCCACCAGCAGTCCGACTCCTCGGCCTTCCTGCCTCTCTCCTACCACACATACCAGCCTTCTCCTTTCAGCAGCGCTGCCAGCAGCAGTCTGGATGCCAGCTCAGCAATGAAAGCTGGGGCTAGTCTGCTGGAGAGCAGTGCATTGTGGGATATGGCCTACGGTACCCGACCAGTGAGACTGGGAGCTGACCTGTCTTCAGGATCCTCAGGGTACCAGTCAGGCACCAGTAACACAGGTAGATACACACTCGGATCCTTGTTTAGGGAAAGTATTTGATAAAGAGAATCCACGTTGTTTGAGATTTTCAGCTGTGGGTCAGAGTCTGGGCTGTGGCCGCTCCTGGGGTATAAAATAGTATCATCTGCCCAAAAAATGGACATTAAAGTATTGATCAGGAAGAATTCTGTTGTTCATGTACACAGTAAACAGCTGTCATTCAATAATCAGTCCGAACTGCTTCTGTAACTCAACACTTCCTGCATGTTTCACATTAAACCAGGAACGGGGAAGATTATGTATAATTGTACCGTGGGAAGCTGAGGGAAGGACATAATGCAAATTTGATCTGTAGTAACATCCTGAAAAACACAGACGTGGTCCCTTACTACTTTGTACTAAACTTTGGTTTGATTCATTTGATTCTTTTGGTATTTCTAGTGAGATGTCACAGCGTTCAGTAGAGAATATTGCTGGTCTCTAACATTACAGATTATATGTGTGTGTTGTAGGTTCAGACCTGATGAAGGAGCACCTGAGAGAGATCAGGAGTCTGAGACAGAGACTGGAGGACTCCATCCAGACCAACGATCGCCTCCGACAGCAACTGGAGGAGAGGCTGGCCCGCACCGCCACTGAGAAAGGTAACACACACACACACACACTCAATTTGTAAATGCATACTTCAAAACAACATGGTACAGCTTTGTTTTACATACACATATAAGATTAAAAGCAATATACGAGGTAGACAGAATACAAACAAAAACACAGCAATAATCAGAGATAATATTAAAAAGAGATCTGGACCTTTCTGTGATCAAAGTGATCAATAGGGTTTTAAAATCAATTCTAAGTCTTACTGGTAGCTAGTGCAGATGTGCTAAAACCCTAGTTTACTGGTTTTCTTTAAAGAAGCTGTTCATATGTTAGAACCCATAAAAGGAAATATAATTTGGTAAGAAAACAGCACTCTATAATAATACTTACTATAGAGATTTAATTAAAAACCTAATATAAGCAGAGTTTGATGGCAGGTTAACTAATCATGACATGCTCTCCCTGTCCTCTCCAGGTGCTCCTACCAACATCTACATCCAGGGTCTGGACTCTGTCGGCCAGCTCTCCAGTGAGATCCGACTGCTGAAGGAGGAGAACGTCAGTCTGCAGAACCAGCTGAAGCAGATCACCAAAGGTACAGTCTGATGTTCGCTGCCAGGAAACACGTCAGTGACATTGTGAACAACAGATTTATATCAGACAGAGGTTATCAGCAGTCTGGGGTCAGCACTGTAATGCTGTGTGTCCTCTGCAGAGGGCAGCAAGGAGGCGGAGCAGCTGAGGGAGGCGGCGCTCCTGGAGCGGGCCAGGTTGAAGGAGGCGGAGCTAGAGGCTGAGAGGTGGGCGGAGCAAAGCAGGAAACTGCAAACTGAGGCTGAAGCTCGCAACCAAGAGATTTCACAACTGAAACAGGACAGACAGCAGAACCAGGAAGCCATCAACAGGTGTGTGTGTGTGTGTGTGTGTTTATTAGACTTGAGGACATTTTGTCAGGTCCTACCTCGCTGCAGTGATGTAGACGTGTACTCCAGGTTGTGTCAGTACACCGTGATGTCACTGTAGAGCAGGATATGGCAACAACAGGTTAAATGATGATTTCATGTGTTCTCACAGACTCCAGCATGAGGTGAGCGTCCTCCAGCAGCAGCTGTGTGAGAGCCGCAGTCTGGTCCACTCTCTTCAGTGTGAGCTGCAGGTGTACCAGAGAGTGTGTGGAGTCCCCACAGACACACACTCAGGTAGGAGGGAGCTGTATGAACTTCTAGAGACAAAACGTAAATGTTCGGAAAACTGTGAGAGCTCTCGAACGCCCCCTAAACCAGCTATTAAAACCTCAGCAGAAATATTGATACTCTTGCTAATTTTAGTCGTCTGTGTGTGTGTGTTTCTGAGCAGGTCAGGTCAGTGACGGTGCCCAACTCGACCACAGCACTGTGACCTTTGACCCCAGAGATCTGCACATTCAGCTGGAGCAGCAGCTGAGCAGACAGGCCGACACCCAGCCTCGATCCAGGAGACAGCTCTTCAGCGGTCAGTATGTCCGACACGCCGGACGGATTAAAGCAGATCACAACACTATAATGAAGAAGAATGATTCTGTGGAACTCAATAAGGGAAAGATGTCATATTATTATTATTATTATTATTAATCTTTCTCCACAGACAACGTTCCCTCCCCGCCGGTGAGAGACACTGGACTCGTCAGTCCTTCCTCTCCTCCACATGCTGCACAGAAACACGCAGAAGAAACTGGAGCAGCTGATCAAGGTGAGAACCTCATCCAGCCAACACCCTGTCACAGTAATCCAACCTCTGTTACACAACCATCACTTACCGACACACATCACCCTCCACAGCACAGAGAACTCGTGTGTTATATCTGTTTCTCTTGTTTTCCTTCCCAGCAGCCTCGGCCCTGCAGGGTGGAGCTCCAGACGGCTCATTCGCCCACCGTCATGGCCGTCACGCAGTGGGCCACATTGATGACTTCCAGGCTCTGCAGCAGCAGATCCTGGAGGGCGCCGCTGTCCTCCGCAAGATGGAGGCCGCTCTTTACTCGCAGGAGTTCAGCCTTCATCAGGTGAGAGAGCCACGGACCAGCAGCTAATTGAAGTTTATGTCACGTTTTGGATTATTAAGAATAAAGATGAAAATCTCCACCAGCAGCTTTTAGAGGTCATTTAAAGCCATGATGAGTTAAATTATGAATATATACAGCATCAAATTATTATTATTATAGACAAGTGTTTGTTTGTTTAGACGATCCATATGGAGATCGGTGCAGTCTGTTTTATTATCACTGGAGGGCGCTCTAGTGAAGGAAACCCTTCTCATATTATACGTTTTTAAAATGTGATACATTTAGTATTGAGACATCTAAGAGTTGGGGACATGTGATTGACTGAAAGTGGAGGTGGCGAGGACCCATGACAACAACACTTGGAAATAACAGCAGTAATTTTAGGGAATTTTACAGTTTTTTTATGCATTTGTTGTAGTCTGGAGTCAAACAGCAATATTAGGCTCTATTGGCTCAATTGTTGAGGGTCTGTGGGATCCAATGACATAAGCATGGTCCCATAGGCATCCAGGAATTTAGCAAAACTAAGCAAATAAACTAAGAGGGTGGGTTCCCACAGTCTCTGACTGGATTATTCATGGATAAAGCAGCTCCCAGATGGATGAATCATTAGTTGAACTTTGTATGAATGTGTTTTGTGGTCTCAGCCTTCAGACTCAGGTTCTGTCAGGAAGCTGCTGTCCGACACTAAAACCCTGCGACAGATCCTGGAGGAGGCCGACTCTCTGCTGCGGATGTTCTGGAGAGCAGCTCTGCCAAACGTCGAGGAAACCAAACAGGTCAGGACCAACATCAAGACTGAACTAACGCTTCAGAGTCTGATGGAAAAGGAACCGAGAGCCTTCTTTATAACTTTGTCCAGTCATTTTTTTCCATCTTATATATGTAATAAAAGTCAATCATGTCAAACCTCCTTTTTATAAACTGATCAGAAAAATGAACACTTGAACAAACATCAGAAACCATCTTTGGAAAAAAATAATTTGACTGGATTTTCAGATTTCCAAAAAGATAATTTATAGCTTTTTTAATCTTTCTGGCTCTCAGTGATGGATTACATAAATAAAACGTTGAGTTAACAGCAGTCGCTGATAGACTAACATGTACTGTGTCTGTCTGTGTTTACAGGATCAGTCTCTGAAGGAGGAGGTCGTTTCTCTCCGTCTGAGGCTCTCGGAGCGAGAAGAGGCTCTAAAGGACGCCATGGAGAGAGTGAAGAGCTCCAACCGCACCAAAGATAGCATGGAGCACTTTATAGTCAGCCAGCGTGAGTCACTGACGCCGCTTTACTCTTTCCAGCAGATCATATTTATCATAACTCTTCAGTAATGACAGTGATGATATTTATCTTCTTTTAATCTTGTAAAGCCATCTGTGCTTATTTGATCTCTTAGCCACTACGGACATCATCTGTGTCTGTTTCACCCTCTTGCGTCATCTTCTATCTCTTGTTTTTCCCAGCGCTCTCTCCTCTTTCTTCATCTCTCTGTTTCTTCTTCATCTTTCGACCCCGAGCAGCTGTTGGCCGACTCGGCCTTGTGTTTCGCTGCTGATCTGAAAGCTTCTGTTTAATGAATGAACAAACAATGACTCCCAGATGTTCTCTTTACAGTGTCGAGAACACAGGACGTGTTGAGGAAAGCCAAGACGAACTTACAGGTGAGTTCATGTTCATTCTGGTTCTGATAACTGTGGACTTTGGTGGGAAGATGGGACACATTTTATTAACAGAGAGAGAAACGGTCAGTGAAAGTCCCGCTCACCTCTCTCCCGCTGTTTCTCTTTCCTCGGACACCTGCTGAGTCTCCTCAGGAGAACGAGCTCAGGATTTCCTCCCTTCACCGTGCCTCTTTCTCCATTCCTCCTTCCTCCTCCTCCTTTTCCTCCTCCTCCTCTTCCTCACACCCCTGGCTTGGTAAAGGTATGGTCCCCCTGGCTTTGCTGTGCTCACTTCAGTGCCCTCATAAAATGTTGAAGCTTGATGAAAACAGTGGCATTAAAGTCATTTCCTGTTAAACTTTATTTAAAGCTGAAGAATTTTACTTTAAAACATTCAAATTAACTGAAATGATCCACAAAACATGAAGAAATAACAGGTTTGAGCATGCTAACCAGCTAGCTTCAGCCCGTCCTGTCTCATCCGACCACTTTGTACCTCAAGAGGCGATAGTGAGTCACTGTAGCATTCATCTGCCCTCAGTCCAACAACACAGTGCCTCACGCTCCTCTCCCACTTCACTCCTCTCCTGTCTCCGCCTGAACCCGCCTGAACCCGCCTGAACCCGCCATGCCTTAGTCGTCCCCAGGAATCAGAGTCCTGGTTGTGTTCACTGGGAGGCTGCGGATCCCATCCCAAACTAGTCTCTAACCTTCAAGGTTTTAACAGATTGTCCCTTCTGGTTCCCTAAAAACCTCCTTCTCCAGGCAGTCCAGAGCTCCTATGCAGTGCTCCAGGCTCCTAGTCTGGGCAGAGTCAGTTCATATATATATATACACTAAATGAATGAAGAAACTCATTCTTTTTCTCCTAATATTAATCCACCTCGACACGTTACTTGTTTGTGCAAAGCAATAATTATCAAATTACAATGTAACACATAGTCGGGGAAAGGTTGTCTGTTTCCACTTTAAAGGCACCCTGTGAAGTTTTGCAGTGTTTTGATATGTGGCCCCTGTTTTTATAGCTCTTGCCCTGCTAACACTCAGACATGTTATACACATTATGACTGCAGATGAATGCAAGCCATAAAATGATAAAATAAGAGACAGAGGAAGAGCAGAACCCCTGAATGTCAACAGAAGTGTGTTTATTTACTAGAAACTGTACAAACCGACCTGCCTTTATATTTAACATGGGGACAGTGTGAACCTGCTTCATCACGCTTTGTCAGTTTGTCTTTATTATTCCTGTAAATTGATTAACCTGTGTGCACAATAAATGTTAGTTCCCTCAAATTAACCATTTGTACGTCTAACCAAGACTTACATCAATTTGCTCTGACTGCATCAAATTACTTAATTGATCCTGCCAAAAGTTTTTATTCCTCACTGGGTAAAACTATATAAAATGTTGGGTTTTTACCTGTTCTTAAGTCATAAATAAGTTATTTTAACTCAAACAATTGTTGTAGCAGATTACATTGAACATTTTAAGTAACACAGTATTAATTTGAGGGAATTAATTCAGTTTTTAATGGTACTAATTACTCACATGAGGGAGCGTTTAATCAAACGTGCATAAAACTCGTCTCTCTAACATCTCCTCTGTTGTGTTTCAGCTGAAAACGCAGGACGCTTCTGTGAGCTCGCCTTCTCTCCTGGTTGGGGTGTCATGAAGCCCCGGACCTCCTCCATCTCCTCCTCCCCTGCTGTCCTGGGACCGGCTCACCGCCACCACCAGCGCCCCCTGCAGTCAGCCTTCCTGTAGTGCACCAGCCACCAAGTCCCCTCATCGACATCTGCTGTTCAAACAGAAAAATGCTGGAAATTCTGCCTCTCTTATTGGCTGGAGAAACATTTCAGTTGAGTGACGTCTGAGTGTTGATGATGGTTTTAAGAATGTGAATGACTGTAATTATTTTAATAATGTGTGTAGGTGTTGGGAAGGCTTTTGTTGAGGCAACTGAAGTGTTTTTTTCTCATTTAAATGAGACCAGACTGAGTTTGGCTAAAGTTGGTTTATGATTCATAGCTTCTGATATCAGTTTACTCCAGGTTTGATAAATCTAACCACAGCGGTTTGTAGCACATGTATGTAGTTTAGGCAGATGAAAAACAGTCAAATTTACAATTTCCTAAATCTGAATGTCTTATAACCAGGGGTGCAAAGCGGGGGGGCTTCTGGGGTTCTTGCCCCAAATGTTTTAGGCTTTTAAAAAAAACTTTCGTCATTTCACTTCAGTCTCTCTGGGCCAGAAAATCAACTGAGCAAAAGGCTCTAAAAGATGATTTCTTCTTCTGGACAACTATTTTGTTTTGCAGATTTTTAGGCGTTCTTTTGTCTCAACTGACTTTAAAAATGTGCATAAAGCTGCTGAAGAGGGGAATAAACTCTCCCCTGGACCCCCCCTACGTTTGAGCTCCCTCCTTAAAACACCTTCATAGGAGGAAATGTTGTACCTTAACTCATAAATCTGAAGCTCCAGATCAAAAGCCGACTCCAGCCTCGTACTTCAGCAGGGATTCAAGACACAAAAAATCCCCCTGATGCCAGCAGGAACGGGGCTTTAAAAAAAAAAGCCAAAGCCAAACTGCAAAGTGCTTCCTGTCAGCCTCTGCGGAGGCTCGTGTTTGTAGTTAGCGTGTAGAATAGTTGCATGTGGTTTGAGCAGCTCGTGGAAACAAAGCCATACTCTCTGACGGGACAGTAGATATGTTTTTGTTTTGTCATAAAAAATGTCCAGCTACTGATAAAATATGGAAAATACTAGAACTACCAATAGACAGTTGGGTCAGATAGCCGGTAGATGATGTTTTCGTGCATTTACTCACAAATAAAACACAGATTTAGGGATTTGTTTTCCCCACTCATTGTTCTCAGACTCCAGAGTGTCGCTGTTAAATGTGGAGTGAGTTCTCTTCAGATATTTAAGATGAATATGGGTCCAACCCAGTTGTTCCTGCTGAAACCTGCAGTGTTTGAAAGCCTTCTGATGAAGCCTCTTAGTAACGCAGAGTTAATACAAACACGAACATGTTACAGGCGGCACTCATCGAGCTGCCTTCAGTAACCTGTCACACCAAAAGAAGTTAATTTTATAGTGAACGGTCCAAGAGAGATGACATTTCATTTTTGTAACCAGAAATATGGACCACACTTTTATCTCTTTGGGTTGTTTTATTTTTTTTAAATCTCCTTTCGTTGTTTTGTTTTTTTGCTAAATTTGTGGATTTTTTTTTATGTTTGAATTTTCCCTCAAGATGACAATCACTTTTAAAGAGACAATCGTCAAGGGATAAAACATCTATAGGTACAGATGTTTTCTTCAGAGCTGCTGCAGGATTCATGACGCTCACTGTGCAAACGAACTTTTCTGAAACTGGGTGTTTTACACTGGCTAACTCCACATTTTCTTTCCGTTGTAGTTTCTCCTTGATTTCCCTGTAAAGTAGGTTTTCTGTTTTTGTGCATGAACTGAGGCTTCACTGCCCTCTAATACTTTCACTGAAATATGCAATTTTTTGGGTTACTGTGCAATAATAGCCTTCGTGGATGCTTTTTTGTGGACGTTTTTAGGCCTGGGTATCAAAGTGCCATGTCATCTGTTTTAGCTCTGGAGCTGAATTAATTTAAACAAACTGACTCTTTTTGGATGAATGCATCCAGATTTGTGACAATCAATTTAATGGCCCGCTCTTTTTGGCTTCATATGAATCAGAGTTTTATACACAATGTGGAAACAGGCAAAGAAACAGCACTGTAATGTGTTTATAAAGCAATAAGATCAACCAAAGTGAACAACGTGTACGTTGTCAAATCAGGTGTAAAATGATCACTATTTAAATGTAATTCCCCACAGGTCAGAGGTCAAACTTAGTGTCTTTCTGTAGCGTCTGTGAGGGTTTTAGGAACCACGTCTCATGTATGTACATATTAAAGGGAGTGTGTACATCAATGCAAGTCCTTTTATTTGTTGTTGTTGCTGTTCAACAAAGACCAGCTGTATTTTTATGCATGTTCTCTTTATTAAAAAAATGTTTTTGGGGTAAAAGAAAAGATCCTTTTTAATAAAAGAGGATAAAAACAACATCTGTCTGGTTTGTTGTGTTTCTTGGATCGACTTTATAACACTCATTTTTAGTTTGTAGTAAAGAGAAATAGTTAAAAGAGTTGGGAGTGTTACTTTAATCCCATACAATTACTAATAACCTGTAGTCAATAATGTAACTTGATTACTTTGTTACTTCTGGACCAAAACACCAAATATGTAAATAAAAACAAGAGAAAAGAAATATCAATAAGACGTATTGATAGATTCTATAAGACAACAGGACAATGTGACCTTCTGCTCAGTAACTGTAACTGTAATGGATTACCTTTTCTTTTTGTCCTGATTATGTAACTCAGTTACATGTAATCTATGTACAGTTCATACACTAGGACAGTTTCAAATGGTTTCATATAAAAGATTAAAAAAAAACTAATTTGAAGAAGAAACTATCACAGTGAGAAATAAAGTAATATGTTTACACAGTTGGGTCAGATTACTTTGAAATATAGTTACTGAATACAAATTATGTGGCATTTTTAGTGATTTGTAGGCTAATTTAATCCACTAGATTACCAAAGAATTGTAATTTGAACTGAATTTTTGGATTATTTTAAAATAAAACATTGCACCTAATACTTCACAATGTCAGATCAGAAACCTTTCATGAGTTAATACAGAATTAAAAACCTTTTAATAATTTTAAAATCATTTTAAAGACTAAATCAAAAATGTAATCAAGTAATCC